ACACACACACACACACACACACACTCACAATCAATCAATCAATCAATCAATCAATCAATCAATCAATCAATATCAATCAATCAATCAAACCTTTTTTTTTTCAAGTTTTTTGTTTATTTATTTTTAAATTTTGTATCTTTATTTTTCTAAAACACCAAAAATCCAACTTTTTTTTATATATATTTTTTAAATCGAATTTAGTTTTTGATTTTTTAAAAATCCGAAACAAAGTCTGATTCCAAAAAAACAAATATGGGGTTGTAGGGCTTAAAATTCCCTACAACCCCATATTTATTTATTTATTTTTAGACTATTATTTTAATTCAGGAAAATTCTGGTAAAATCGGGTCCGCGGCGTGGACCAGGTAGGCCGCGGATGCGGACCCGTCTGCGTTCGCCATCCAAGATTGGACCCACGGACACGTCCGCGTGTGTTACATAGCTCCCACGCTTGATGTTGCCTGATTGATTTGACTGCTAACCTCGGTATGACTCCGATGTTGTTGAGTGAGCGGGACTGATTTTCTAAGTTACGGTGACATGGTCGGTTTGCGGGTGCTATTGTGTGAAGGACCCGCCGGGATGGCGGTCCGTCAGGATCAAGACGAAGGGATGAGGATGGGGGAGATGGAGATGGAGCTGGAAGGGACAGCGCAGCTCCAACGCAGACTCAACACGCACGTACTCCAATCTGCGCAAATGAAGAATGAGCCACAAAACAGACTGCAGTTGGGGTATACCCCCAACGGACTGATTGGACTGCACTGGACTGGTCTGGTACCGACAGTGGTACCGGGCAGGACTGGACTGGACTGAATAATCGCATGGCCTGTGGGGTCAGGCCACGGCCTGGTCCCACAGGCCGAACTGGCAAATAGCCAAATAGGCCCTGGCTGTGGGCCAGGGCAGATGAAGGCCCGTTGCACGATCCTCAGACCTGTTATGAATCGCAAGAGCCATAAACACGCTATCCGCAAAAGCAACGGAACTCTACAATAAAGAAAGCTGAGAAATCTAGGATGCGGAGCAAGCTCCATGCAGAGTCCATGCGATGCATCCTAAGCTATATAATGTCAAAAGAAAAGCAAATATCTGGTATACATATCCTAGCTAACAGCAGAAAATGAAATGTAGTATGATACACTCCTAAAGTCCTGGAGGCAGTGGCCTCAGTGCTGAAAGGAGAAGAGCAATATGTCACAAGATAATGTCATGTCGCTGAACCACTAAAAGTGGGATGGTCTCAGAGGGGGTGAATGCAGCCTAAGAATCGAAACTCCTAAGGGCAGTCACACATGAAGGTGGGATAGGTCATCAGGCTCAAGGTGGGAGAGTGGTAGCGAAACAAAACCAATGAYCCTAACAGRTAGACCATCAAGGCGGGTAATGCTCRACAAGGGTGACACCATGTAGGGTCGACCATGAAAAGGGGGAGCCTGGAATAGGGTGGAGATATGCCTAACTGAAGGCATGCAAGGGCCGGCACTAGGGTGATGAGGGCAGTGGGTGAGGGAAACATGCACACAACTCACCGACTGGGGGAGGAAGGAGCTAGATCTGGGAGCAGGGAAGCCAAGATAACGCTACGGTCCCAATGCCTATGCGATACYAAGGRAGAGCCCAACTCAAAGAGACCCAGCTAAGTGAGAACCATCATGCGACAGATGCAAGGGAATGTACAGGGTAGGGTGGTGGCGTGAAGTAGTGACGTCCAAAGTAGCTGAAGCCGATAAGGTAGCTGAAGTCGTTGAATCGGTCGATGACGTCGATGAAGTAGCAATCGAGTCGATGTCGAAGCAGAGCCGCAAAACGCTGACATCCTGAAGAAGAGTTGATGATGGAGTACCTGATGGTGTGAGTCAGTGGGGAAAGATGGAGGATAAGAATGTCAGTCATCGTAAGGGCGACGATGAGTGCGCTGTGGACGCTCGGAGGCGACCATCTGCGGCTGAGGAACGGCCTCAGAGGGAGCGGGCTCATCCTCAGCGATCTCCTCAGCCGGAGGAGGAGGAAGAGGGTCAATCGGCTGAGTAGAAGCAGATGTCCCAGCACGACGAGCACGATCATATGCACGCACCAACATCCTGGCGTGCTGCAAGTGCTCGAGGGGCTCCCAAGTAGCCTCCTCATCAGGGTAGCCCTTCCAACGCACACGGTACTCGATGCGTGGAGGGGTATCGTCGGTAACTCGGCGTGATACGATGTCGGAAACAACGAACTCCTCGTGACCGTCCAGCATGATAGGTGGAGGGCGCTCATAAGGGCGTCCGGCGAAGCGCTCGGACGGTCTGCGATAAGGACGCAGCAAGGAGACGTGGTAAACATCGTGTACGCGAGCCTGTCGAAGGTAATTAGGTAGCTTCACACGGAAGCTGACCGGACTAGCGGCTGTATCAGAGCCGACGGCCTGAAGGATGCGGCATGGACCGAAGAAACGACGCCTGAACTTGCGAAGCATATCTGCTTCGAGCTGTAAGTGGCGTGCGTCGACGAGCACATCGTCACCGACTTTGAATGGATGATTCATTCGTGATCGGTTCGTTCGTGCGGTCATGCGAGTCTGGGAGTCGGCTAAACTCTCGTGTGCGCGCTTCATAATCGCCGCCATGTGGGCGATCCAGTCATCAAGCGCAGGGCAACGAGTGTCTGGGCGCAACCGCGATGGTCATAGGAAATCCGCAAGTACGGGAGGGTGGTAGCCGAGGTCGCAATAGAATGGCGACATCCCCGTGGCTGGCGAAACAGCGTGGTTGTACGCAATCTCCGCATGGGCTAAGTGTAAGTCCCACTGCTGGTCATCCCTAACAAACTTTCGGAGGATATTACCGAGAGTTTTGTTGGTGACCTCAGTCTGACCAGCCGTCTGAGGGTGGTAAGACGATGAGAAGCGGAGCTGGGATCCGTACACCTCGTGTAGGCGTCGCCAGAATGTGCTGGTAAAGCGCGGGTCACGGTCGGAGATGATGCTCTGAGGTAAGGCGTGATCTCTCACGACTCGGTCGAAGACGATGTCGGCGACCTCACGAGCGCTAATGCGATAGCGACACGGAACAAAACGTGCACGTTTCGTGAAGTGATCGACGACGACCAAGATAGCATCATGACCGCGCTGAGTGGGTGGGCGGAGGGGACCAATGAAATCCATCGAGATAGACTGCCAACGACCTTCAGGTATGGGTAGGGGCTGAAGTAACCCATACGGAAGGTGGTTCTCACTGTTCACCTCCTGGCAGGTAGGACACTCCTGGATGTTGGCTTTGACAAAGTCCTTGGACTTCGGCCAGATGTATAGGCGGCAAACACGAGCCAACGTCTTGTGGAAACCCATATGACTGGCAGCTGCCTGGTCATGGAACTCTACTACAGCCTGGACGCGGAGCTGTCCGGTGGAGGGAACGCAGATACGTGGTTCTAGCTGACTAGATCTGCTATGCCAGTACACGAGGCCGTTCTCCCTGAGGGAGTAGGAAGGAACGGTCTTGCCACTCCGCAGTGTCGCGTGGATGACGCGATAATCGGGGCAGTGGCGGTACTGAGTGCGATACGCGTCGATCACCGACTGATCAACACTGGTGATGGAGATGGCAGCAAGATGGATGGGTTCCTGATTTTGATCAGGACGGCGGGACAAGGCATCGGCGACGCGGTTCGTTTCACCCTTGATGGGCTGAGTGGTGAAACTGAACTCAGATAAGTCACGCCACCA